GCTGCTCTTTGTGAAAAATACGCAATTGGATGAAATTTATTATCGTCTTGTTTCTGTAATAAAATTCCACCAAACCCTTCACTACTTGCGTCACAATGTAATTCTGTTTATCTATTTGGATTATACAGAGCTAAAATCGGAAAAGAGATTAATTTCTCACGAAGATACTCAAAGATTTTTATGCAATTTTCGTTAAGTTCGTACTTAAAGCCTGCTTTGGTTAGGTCTTGCAATGGTTTTGTTATTTTTTAATATGCCGGAATAAATCGCCTAAAATAAGAAAATAATCCTAAATACTTTTGCATACCATGGCGATCTTTTGGTATCGGAAGATGTTTAATCGTCGATGTATGTTCATGATTCGGACTTATTCCTTTCCCACTGAGAGTGTATCCTAAAAATTCAATGCTTTGGTAAGCGAACTGACATTTGCTCAACTTAATTTCTAGTCTATATTCTGCCAGAATTCTCAATACTCTTCCTACAGTTATAAAATGATCACTAAGTGTCTTCGAACCTATTGCAATATCATCTATATAAACTACTACATTTCCTTCACGTATCAATGGCTGCAGAATAAAATTAATAAATCTCATAAATACTGCAGGTGTATTCATGAGTCCGAAAGGCTTTCTTGTATATTCATATTGACCGGAGGGTGTCACAAAAGCTGTGTACTGCACTGAATTTTCTGCTACTTTCATTTGGTGGTATCCACTTTTTAAATCTAAAAGTGTGAAATATTGGTTCCCTTCTAATCTCTCTAAACAATCATCTATCAGGGGTAATGGGTATCCATCACGAATAGTTATCTTATTAAGTTGTCTATAATCCACACACATCCATTTTTCTCCCGATTTTTTCTTAACAAGTACAATAGCAGAACTATAAGGCGAATTATTTTCTCTTATAAATCCTTTCTTCAATAATAATCAATAATCAATTTTACTATCTACTTCCTTCTTTTCCTCATATGAAAGTCTTCTTGGAACAGTACGTACAGGTTCTTCCGATTTAAGTCTAAGCCTCATTTCAGAATTATGTTGGATCGCTGGAATGTTGGCTAAATCCAAATAATTTAATCTTATTATTTTATTGAGTTCACTACGGTCCTTAACTTCGGGTCTATGTCAAAATTTTCATCATCCCTTAATATGTCAATACTATATATAAATGGTATGCTATCATCACTGTCTCTTCCGATAGCCTTATATAATTCTACTGTATCATTTTCAATGTCAAAACTATTCTCTGATTCATTGTCACTATTCAATTCATTCAATAAAATCTTCAATCTATGCAATGGGTCACTATTAATATTCACTGGGTCACTATCAATATTCAATGGGTCACTATCAACATTCAGTGCAATAATTTCTTCTCTTCTTTTAATTTCATCCTTAAAAATCAACTTTATTCCAAATTTTTCCAAAAACTTACGCCCTAAGAGTACATTAGTTGCGACATAATTGTCGGGTACAACAAATAAATCAATTTCTTCTTCAATGTTTTGAAAATAAAGTTTAACAAAAATTTTTCCAAATGTTTCTATTTGAGCTCCATTTACACCACAATATTTTGTTGGGGTCAACACGTCATTAAACTTTTTGTAGGGTACAGCTATGCGCTGGATTAAATTAATGACGCTACCGGTATCGAACATGGCAGAAAGGAATGTTTTTTTATTATTATGTTGTCTACGATCAGTGCAAAAATATACTCCTACCTGATTGAAAATAGGTATAAACATCTCGTTCTGCTGCTCATCTCGCCCGCTCTGATTGTTGGTAGCTCCCACGACTCTCGGAGTAGTTGCTGGCTTCTGTTGGCAGTCCTTTAACATGTGCTGAAGGGATCCACAACGGAAACAGGATCCTTTCTCGCGCTTCGGCGCAGTACAAGACGAAGCGTAGTGTCCATGTGCCGAACAATTAAAGCAGCGTATCAGGTTTCTGCTCCCTCCAGCGATAGTGCCTCCTGTGCGATAGGACATATTTTGGGAATTTTTTCGTAGAATCGCATATTTTCGTGCCATTTCCTTTAGTTGTTCGATTGTGGTTGCCGAGTACAACAGTGCGATATTGGCTGAACGATCGCGAAAACCATCGATGATGAATTGTATGGTTAGTTTTTCATCAATATTAGCACGCAGCGCAATTTCCTCCATTTTGAGAATGTAACCTATGACGGTGTTCTTGTCAGGGTTAAAAATGGTTTCCTTCAACAACAATACTATATCGGCTGTTGAATTGCCGCGGCCAAATGTTTTCACAAAATTTTCCTTAAATTCGTCATACGTATTCGATCGGTCGACACGCAGAAACAAGTCGGCATCTTTCCCTGGTTTCATCAGCATACGAACACAACGTAGTTGAAAAGTTGCGTCATCATTTACACTTCTGCAAGCTCTTTCAAAATCCAAGATCCACTGAAGTGCTTTTTCATTTTCAGTAGCAGAGAACGGAACCATGAGCTGCTTTACCATTTGGACGTCATCCGTCACCTTATCGTCATTTTGCATCAATCTGGCGAGTATTTTCTTCTTCTCAGCTACTCTTATTGCGGCGTCAAGGGCTTCTTCTTCTTCTTCCAATGTGTGCTCGACATGTGCGCTCGCGGTCCCCTGGCTCATGAGTTCCATTTTGGTGTCTTCTTCCTCCGATATGGTTTCAGGAACCTCATGAACATCTTGGCAACCGGCATCTGAAGCAAGCTTACGCAGTTGTCTGAGTGTTGCGCTTGTTGGGAACTCGATTTCGTTGGCCTTTAGCCATTCCACAATCTTTGACTTATCCATTTCCAGTTGGCGTGGTGCTCCCAATTCAATTATGAGAAAAAAAACTTTGTATATTTCTCGGATAGCCCAAAATACTAGTGTAGGCGCTTGTGTAAGACGGTTGTTATCCCACTTCTGAAGTTATAAACGTCGATTCTCAGTTGATTGCTTTTATTTCCACGATTTTATTAATAATATTTTAATTTTTTTTTTTTTTTGTTGGGATTTCTTCGCATAAAGCGAAAAAATGGTCTCAAGCTAAGACTTGAAGTGACCAGACACTGCAATGTTAAACCAGAAAAGCGCGAGGCAACAACTGGTGTGATGTTTCCTGACCCGCAACAAAGTTGCGAATGAATATAATATTTTAATATTTCGCCAATGTGCGTTCTCGAACAATCGTAGAGTGACCGTATCCTCTTTCTCTTATAATCCTAATCTTCTTATATATTAACATTGTGTTAATTGGAACAACGGAACTGAAACATAAATGCTAATGGTAGAAATACTAAATGCTAACAAATGCTAAATACTAAATGCTAACAAAATGATGATACAAAGGAGGCCTTTGGAAAAGACCTAATCACGTGTATAGAAATAATGAGAAATACCTTATTGAACTATCCGAAAACAAACAATAGTGCTGACAAGAAACTAATAATACTAGAATTTATATATAACCTAGCACAAAAATAAAGCATGAAATGCATTTTTAAAACAAAAGCGAAGTGAGTGAGACGGAAGACGTTGAAGTTAAAGCCGCCGAAAGACAAATGGCTGCTTATGCAGCCGCAAACCACCAAACAACAGCAAAAGTGAACAGCAATATCGTAGAACAAACTTATCAACCAATTCTAGAGACGGCCTATTATTCTAATAAATATATAAAACTAAAATCAAAATCACATATGTAAATGTCCCCATGTAAATACCCCCCCCCCCACTAGATAATAAGAAAAAACTACAGCAACAAAATCAAAAAAGAACGACAGGGTTTTTCAAAGAATTTTTCCCAGTCACATACGCAACACAAATAATGACCATAAGTCTAAAACAAACAGTACAAACACGCAAGCAAAATATAATATAAACAAAACATAAAAAAGACTAGCACCTTGAAATACAAATAGCGCGAGGCAAAATAGAAATCCAAGATCTCTGTAAACTAGTCCACCAAGTATTACGTATAAAATAAGTATGCAAACTGTATATCATTTAAACTGAATAAAGGACAACTTAAAACCGAACCGACTGCTATGAAAAGTGAGTTAATCGCAAAGTGAAGTGAAGTGAAAAAATAATGCCGCCTAAAACCAGTGGAAAGGCAGCCAAGAAGGCTGGCAAGGCCCAGAAGAACATCACTAAGAACGACAAGAAGAAGAAGCGGAAGAGGAAGCAGAGCTATGCTATCTACATCTACAAGGTCCTGAAGCAGGTCCATCCCGACACTGGCATTTCGTCGAAGGCGATGAGCATCATGAACAGCTTTGTGAATGACATCTTCGAGCGCATTGCTGCCGAGGCTTCTCGTCTGGCGCACTACAACAAGCGCTCGACCATCACCAGTCGGGAAATCCAAACTGCTGTTCGTCTGCTCCTGCCCGGAGAGTTGGCAAAGCACGCCGTCAGTGAGGGAACCAAGGCTGTCACCAAGTACACCAGCTCCAAGTAAATTTCCCCGCGGATGTGGAGAAGCATTAAAAAGGCCCTTTTCAGGGCCACAAAAAAGTTTTACCAAAGAATCTGAATTTTCAAAAGCCTAATTTTTCTTTAAATATATAAAGCTTCCATTTTAAAACCAAAAGCTGTCCTGTAAAATATAAAATCTATTTCGAATTGAAATTTTCCTGGAATTGTACAATTTAAATGTGGCCCCTTTAAAAAATTTGGAAAAAAAAGAAATTCTACCAAAAAATCGACTTAGATCGATATGCTGACTAAAAATTAATATGGTTTATAGGGTCGGACATGACTCTTGACTGATACGCTATTTTCCTCCGAAAATCAATTTATTAGTATTATTATTTATTATCAAATAAATAAATACTTCTGGGTTTTAAAGGAAGCGGGTCCATTTCAACGGGAACACTATTTGTAATTTTAAAAAATTGATAATTTAGCTCTCTTTTAAAAAAGTTTTGTAGCCCTGAAAAGGGCTTGTTTAAATCAATTTCAAATTTCATATTTCGAAATCTAAAATTGCGATAATTAAGATTATCTTAATTTACTTCTTCGACGCCGTGGTCTTGGCTTTCGGCTTCTTAGCGGTAGCCGGAGCAGTTGCTTTCTTCACTGCCTTCTTAGGCTTGGCGGACGCTGCTGCCTTGGCCTTCGGTGCCTTGGCTGCCTTTGGCTTCGCGGCGGCCGGCTTAGCCTTTGCTGCTGCTGGCCTTGCCTTTACGACTCCAGTTTTCTTGGCATTCTTGGCCTTTGCCTTCTCAGTTTTCTTCTTCTCGGCAGTCTTCTTGGTGGCAACGGCCTTCTTGGCCTTGGTAGCTCCTGAACCAGATGCCTTTTTGGCGGCCACCTTCTTCTCAACTGGCGCTGGTGGGGCAGCCACTGGGGACGCGGATGTTGCCACTGCAGAGTCGGACATTTTTGCTTCACTAATTATTTTCGAAAGCTAACGAAAAACACTTTTGTTTGTATAGAAATGGCGCGAGCGGTCTAGACCCGACGTTCCTCGTTGATATGAGAATCGAGGAGGAGAGCAGTATAACTATGTGTTTGGCAGCGCTCATTTACGTTGCCTATGTTTGAGCGATGTGCAGTTTTATTTTCTTCTTTTCTCAATGTTATATTTTTAAATGGTAAAATGTTTTAATTATTTTAAGCATTTAAATATTTCATAAAACATGTTCAGTTATTTTAATGTGAAATTATTTTTTGGATCATTTTGTAAAAGTGTCTGAAGTTCAAGATTTGCATTTTTGACCAAAGCATTTCGTGAAAAATCATCTGTTAAAATATTAAAATTTATGAATATTATGAATATTTTTTAGAAAGAGTGAAATTTGAACCTTTTACTTGCGGGAACACTCAAAATATTTTCGTTTTAAACAAATTATGGTATTTTTTGACCACTTTCAAATTGGCCCTTTCATACATAAATTGTCGGCTTTCTTGGTGTCGAGGGAGGCTGTAAATGAAACGAGCGTTTGACGTTGTTGAGTTGATATTTCAAACTAAATTTTATTCGTTCAAATCCTATCTTAAATAGCTAACATGAGAATGTACATTATTGATTTTAGTTCTAGACCCACGCATCGGACAGTTCCCGATCGTGGGAAATACTCTAAGTGCGATAAGGGAGCTCACAGTCACCCGATAGCACATATGGTATTTTAAACAAACCCAGACCGCTCGCAGGAGGTCATATTTCGGGTTGCTTGTATTTACGTAGGCCCAAGTGGCGGCTGTACTTATAGATAGACAAATGCAGTACATAGCTGCAAAGATTTAGTACCTAACATATACATCTTATCTATGTATATACTTGTTCGTGTGTTCTTTCTGAACACTTGATACTTTCGGGCATGGTTTTGGCTACCTAAAATATATTAATATTTTAAAATATATTAGTTTTTGTCAATTTTGTAAAATAAATAGGACACATGTTTTAGTTAATAAAAGTTTAAACTGAATTTATGCATTTGTTTCTTGGAAATGGCTTATTATGTTCCCCATACAACGTTCATATTCGAGTTTTCTTGAGCACAGTACCCAAAGAGACGGTAAATTAAATCCTTTAAGCATTTAATTTGATGGATTTTTAGTTTATAAGTGTAATATTAATATCTTAAGAAAAAAAGACAAAACAAATTGATTTGTTTTTTATTACTTAAATAAAATGTTCAAATCAAGCAGTTTGAATACATTTATTTCGAACTTAATAGGTTAGGTTAGGTTAGGTTATACCGGACGGCCCTCGAGGGGCCACACATAGGCCAATATGGCCCATAGCAATCCGGGGAAACTCCTGGATGGACCTAGAGACTATTTATGCGGGTTTCGAGATCCTTGAATATCAAGGTGTTTTTCGCAAAGGCAAGGAGTTCGCCTGGCTTTCTCCTGGAGGCATCTTCTAGCGATGCCAGAACTGGAGAGCCTAGGTATCTCATTCTTGCCTTCGTTAGGGCCAGACATTTGCAAATGAGAAGCTCCAAGGTTTCGATTGCCTCGGATTCATCACATTTCCGGCATTTGGCGTTGTCGGTAATACCCAGCTTGACTGCATGTGCAGCAGACAGGCAGTGACCTGTAAGAATACCCACTAACATTCTGCAGTCCTTCCGCGGAAGATGCAGCACGTAGTGGGTGAGTTTCTCGTTGTGTTCTTTGCACATGATTTTTGATATTCTGCAGGTTGCGGAATTACTCCTCCACCTGCTTTTTGCGCTTGCGTCAGCCCGTCTCTCTAGCTCGCTGTGGAGCGTTCTTAGGGAGATAGGGACGTTTTCTGCTCTTTCACTCGCCAGTCAAACGCCTTCCTTTGCAAGTTCGTCATCGGTTCCGTTACCGTCTATGCCTTGGTGGCTGGGAACCCAGTAGATCCTCACTGACTTAGTCGTGCTTAGGCTATCTAGTGACTCCCTGCTTGCCAGTACATTTTTGGAACTGACCGCTGATGATTGCATGGATCTTATCGCCGCTCGACTGTCTACGAACAAATTGACCGCCTCATGTGGACGGTTTATGCTCTGCGCAGGCTCTGCTGCTTTCCTGATGGCGAATACTTCCGCCTGGAATATACTGCAGTAGCTTGGTAGCTTATGCGACAGCCTCATTTCAGGGTCTGCACAGTATATGCCCGCTCCAACTCCTGCTTCCATCTTGGAGCCGTCGGTGTATATATTGAGGTATTGAGCATGGTCCTGGCCTGACTTCCAGTCATTTGGTCCCATGAATACTGTTGTGTTTACATCCGGGCACGTTCTGGGTATCATGTAGTCAGATGTACTGGATATATACCGATCAATTGAACTGTGCCCGAAACCTTGTAGCGACCAGTTTCCTGATGCAACCAGACGTTGTGCCGCCTTTCCTGCTGTCAGTTGCGCTTGGATATCTACCGATTATGATTTCGAGTGCTTTGGTGGGGGTTGACCTCAGCGCCCCTGATATGCAGAGCAGTGCCTGCCGCTGGGTTCTCTCCATAAGCTTATTATACGTTTTCTTCTCCGTGGCTGGCCACCACACTAAGACTCCATACAGCAGAGTCGGACGCACCACCGATATGTAGACCCAATGCATTAGAGCTGGTGAGAGGTCCCATGTGCTGCTAAGCATCTTCTTGGATGCATATAGCGCTATGGTGGCCTTTTTTATCCTCTCTACTACATTGGCTCTCCACGTCAGCTTGCTGTCAAGTACAATGCCGAGGTATTTGACTTGTGTTTTCGGGGTCAGCCTGGTTTTGTTAATTTTCGGGGGGATCCATTGCGGCACCTTGTATCTCTTGGTGAAGAGAATAAGGTCCGTCTTATCCGCATTGATATTGAATCCTACCTTCTCCGCCCACTCACATATCTCCCTGAGTGTTGATTCCATGATCGAGCTGAGGGTCGATGGACAGACTCCCGTGATAATTATGCTTATGTCATCCGCATAAGCTTTTATCTTTGGTGCTTTCCTCTCGAATCTCTTGATTAGGTCGTCTACCACCAGATTCCATAGGAGGGGCGACAGAACCCCACCTTGCGGCGTGCCTCTGTGCGCTCCTCTCACCATGGAAGCGGTGCCCCAATCTGATTGTACCCGCCGGCAACTTAGAAGATTTTTTATCCACAAGTTGATAGCGGGGGACGAGTTGGTCGCTTCTAGGCGATCCATTATTGCGTCCGTGCTAACGTTGTTGAATGCCCCGGATATGTCCACGAACACTCCAAGTGCATACTCCTTATTGTTTAGGGCTCTCTCAATGGTGGCTACCAACGAATGTAGTGCCGTCTCCACTGATTTCCCCTTCGTGTAGGCGTGCTGGTTGGTCGACAGTTGTCTCCCTACACCGTTCCTGATGTATAGGTCCAGCAACTTTTCCAGCGTTTTAAGTAGGAATGAGGTGAGGCTTATCGGTCTGTAATCCTTGGGGCTCACGTGGCTGCACTTTCCTGCTTTGGGCAGGAAGACAATTCGAGAGGTCCTCCATTGGATAGGGATATAGCCCGCGCTTAAGCAAGCTGTATATATTGCGTAGAGCCATGGGGTGATCACCTCCTTGGTCACCTGCAGCATGGCTGGGAATATTTCATCTGGTCCTGGTGCTTTTATCCTCGCAAAGGAGTCTATAGCCCAGTGGATTTTACCAGAGGATATTAAACCTTTTGGGAGATGCTCTACTCCAGTTGCTAGGTCCTGGTGCTTATTTGCATCGGGTACCTCAGTGCATCCTGGGAAATGCGCGTGCATTAGTGCTGTTAGGGCCTCTTAGCTGCCCTCAGTCTGGCTGCTTCGATAGCAGCTTCCGGAGTCTAGCTGTTTCCGGCGCAGTCTCTATATTGGAGCAGAAGTTTCTCCATGAGTTTCTTTGCGCCTTGCGTATTTTCTTCTTGTAGTCCCTAAGTAGGACTTTGTATTCCTCATTGATGATGTCATCTTTCGCCTGCTTGACGATTTTGAAGAATTCTTTAAGTTTGTTTCGTCGGAGCGAGAGGTCCTTATTCCACCAGGGTGGCCTGGTCCTCTTTCTCGTGTCCGATATAGGGCATGATGCGTGGTACGCATCCAGCAGTTCTTTGGAGAGTGTCTCTAGGGACTTTTCTATGTCTTCCGCGGATTCTACTATGCCCGGAGGGATCACGAGCCGTGTCACGATAGTCTCCTTGAACTTTCCCCAGTTAGTATTCCGGGGGTTCCTGAAGACTGATTGTTTTGGAGAGTGTTCGAATGCGTATTGGAACCGTATGTACTTATGATCTGAGAAGGATGGTCTCTCAAGGACTCTCCATTCTGATACCAAAGTACCTTGTCCCCTTACCAGAGTAAGATCTAGCACGTTTGAGGAGGTGGGACCTACATAGGTGTGTTCCTCCCCCACGTTTGCTATACTCAGGTTGGTTGAGAGTATAAAGTCTAAGAGGACTCACCTCTGTCGTTTATGTCGGGGCTTCCCCATACACAGTGGTGCGCGTTGGCATCTGCACCCACGAGCAGTTGCTGGTCCTTGGGGCTGGCTTCTACCAAGCTCATGAGTTCTTCTGGTGGGGCCGTTCTGTCGTGTGCCATGTAGCAGGAAGCTACCAAAAGGCGCTTTTTCCCGCTCTCTAGCATCACCACGGTCAGGTCATCAGAGCTGTAGTGAGACCTAAGGTTAGCGTGTAGACCCTTCCGTACAAGTACGGCGGTTCTATTCCTGCTTACCGTTGGTGGATGGAGCAAATTGTAATTTGCGGACTTCAGTCCGGCGATGGCATTGCCTGAGGCGATCCATGGCTCCTGGACCAAAGCTATGTCGGCGGATCCTTGCTCCATGGCTATGAGGAGTTCCGCCGACGCGACCTTGCTCTTATGGAGGTTGAGCTGCAGCACCCTGAGTGTCATGGGTACTGGCCTCACCTCCATACGACGGGTTGACTACTACGGTCAGGTCACCGTCCTCTCCTTCGTCGGACTCATCCAGCGTCATTTCCCGGTCGGCATCCACGATGGTTTCCAGGCTTAGATCCTTCTCCACCACATCTGCCTTCAGGGTGTGAGCAACCTTATCCCCGGGGTGGCGCTTTTTGAGGCGCAGGTATACGCTACCCATGCCCCACGCCATCTTCCCGTATCTGGGATAAAGGATGTCCTCTGCCTCCTTGTTTATCTGGAGGACTGCACTTTGCCCCCCCTCCTTGGGAGATGGGGCCGCAACGTGCAGAACCTTCCAGTCCGCGGTTGGGATATCCGGGTTCTGACGCTGCAGCAGCTTCAGCGCCCTGTCCGCTTGGATTGCGATGGGGAAGAGTACCTTCGCTTTTGGAGTGGATGGGATTAGCTCCCGGTCCACCACCTCTAGCTTGGCTCCCTCCCACAGCGCCTCCAACTGGCAGACCGCTTGCGTCAGCCACTTTCTCGTCGGGTCATCCATGCACTTTAGGATTTTGACCCCATTTAGCCCCAGAGCCATCGAAGGTGGGCATGGGAGCTTCGGGATCATCCTCCATTCGTGCGTACAATGACTCAACGAGCCGCGCGTGCACCATCTTCCACTGCGCCTCGGTCATTTTGCCGGCTTCATCGCTTCTGTCAATGAGGGCCACGATCAGGTGTCGTTTGGTCACCTCACTGACTTTTGCGGTTTTTTTGGTCTTTTTCGCTATTTGAGGAGGGCCTGCCTCTTTAGGCCCGCGTTGCCGCTTGCTCCCCGGTGCGTCCATAGAGGCGCTTTCGGTTGAGCGTTGCCTTTTGTTGGCAAGCGTCTCCTCCACCTTGTTGACGAATACGCCAGTCGAACTCATATGGGGGAGTTTAGCGAAGTGAAGCCTCCCCTGAGCGATTTTCTCTTCAGGCCAGGTAAGCTTTGCCTTCTCCTCTGGGGATAGGGCGGCTTTTTTCTGGAGCCGATCCTGGATGCGGAGGGCAGCCTTGTACATCGCCTTGGCCTTCATACCCTCGCTTGACCGCTTTGGCCCGTCCCTGCGCTGGGAGCTGGTGTCTGTTTTCGGTGAGTGGGGAAGCTGCACGCTCTCAAGGTCCGAGTCTGTATCGACTATGGCACGTGAGCGGCTCAACTTCCCCTGCGTAGTTTTTTCGGCAGTAGCGTTGCAACTGACATGACCTGCTCCCGTTACATCAGAGGTTTTATGCCTCCCGCCAGGCACCTCCACCCATGGCTAACGGCTCACTTCCTTAGGCTTTTTAGGGCAGAAGGAGTTGAGCCGTGGCCTTAGATAGACACTGTATTATCGCGGACGGGGCAAGCAGCAATGCATTACCCCTGTCCGGGCTAATATAGTGCCCATTGCCCAGCCGGCACCCTCGGGAAGGGTTCAGATGGAGGATTTTTGACAGGCCTTCGAACTTAATAACTTAAGTAAATATTTTATTTATTTATTTATTTATTATGAAATTAACGCGTAATTCAAATTGCGCGAAATTTTAGTTTAGCTATACCAACTTCAAGCCCTAAGGGGGGATATACATGTAAACGGTCAAAATGTAGACATTTTTCGTGAATTTTTTAATGTAGGAAATAGTGAAGCTTTTGAAATAGTTAAAAGTAGCATCGGAGATTATTACAACATTTTGTTATGGACAAGATAGAGCGCGTAATTTTTGTCGGAAATCCTAAAAAAAATTGTTTGTATTCATTACACCTTTACCTTTTATTTGAATCTAAAAAACCAAAAAGAAATTGTGACAAAAAAAAAAATTTTGTTTTGAAGGAAAAAATGCCATTTTCAGGTAATCAGATTTCACTTCTCACCCTCTTAAAAAATAGTAATACTCATTTGTATTACCCCCATTTAGGTTCAAATAGAAGATAATTTCATGCTGATCATAATAATTTTTGATTCACTCCGATATGTTACATAGTTTTTTGTGAATCGTGCCCATAGCATAGGTAAAAATGCAAAAATTTTAAGCAGAGAAAAATACGTTTAACACTTATATACCTTGTAACGAATCTCTCCGGCCGGGATAGATCCCAGTCGTGACCAGGGATCCTCTTCAAGAAATTTATTTAGAGGGGACGGAAATATCTGTAGGAAGTTATTATAACAGCGTATGGGGCCCGGGTTGCGAACTTGTGCGCACTAAATTCCGATCGCCGAGGGTCGGCAAGGTGGATGCCGGACGATGTGGTCACTAGATTCCCCAGGAGCAGGCGGGGCATACGCGCTGCTTGTCAACGGCCGGTCGCCGCGCTGCTTTTATCGACTCGTCGATCTGCTTGATGGGTCGGTCCCTACTGCTTGGGTATACTGCTTTCGCCGGTGCGCGGAGTGGCAACTCCGGTGGGCTCCTGGCGGGATTTTCCTGATCTCGCCCAGAATTCGGACGACGTGGGTCGGGGGAATGGCCAGGGCGTCAGAGAGGCGTTAGTCAACTCCGGCTGGGCACGGAGGCTAGCTACGGGTCGGCCAGGCCGAGTTTCACTTGTCACCGTGGTGACGCACGGTGCGCGGAATGGCCAGTGCGGGCGGGGCGGCAGCATGTGTCGAAGTATCCCTAATCTAGGAGTGGATATGGGGGCGGATGCACTCGTAGTCGCGGCGGTGCACGGTGCGTGGGAAACCAGCGCTGGTGTGGCGCTGCGGCTACGGGCACAAGAAGGGGTCCCTAGCGGGGCGAGGACAGAGGAGCACGTATCCTCCAGTCGCGGCGACACGTTGAGCCCGGAGCGCTGTGGGCACGGGAAAGGATTCCTAGCTGAGCGAGGGCAGAGGAGCAGGTGTCCTCCAGTCGCGGCGGCGCGCTGTGCACGGAATGAGCCTGTGCTGGCGTGACGCTGCGGCTGTGGGCACGGGAAAGGATTCCCTAGCTGAGCGAGGGCAGAGGAGCAGGTGTCCTCCAGTCGCGGCGGCGCGCTGTGCACGGAATGAGCCTGTGCTGGCGTGACGCTGCGGCTGTGGGCGCGGGAAAGGTTTCCTAGCTGAGCGAGGGCAGAGGAGCAGGTGTCCTCCAGTCGCGGCGGCACGCTGGGCACGGAAGGAGCCTGTGCTGACGTGGCGCTGCGGCTAGGAGCACGGGAAAGGATTCCTAGCGGAGCGAGGGCGGAGGAGCAGGTGTCCTCCAGTCGCGGCGGCACGCTGGGCACGGAAAGAGCCTGTGCTGACGGGACGCTGCGGCTGGGGGCACGGGAAAGGCTTCCTAGCGGAGCGAGGACAGAGGAGCAGGTGTCCTCCAGTCGCGGCGGCACGCTGGGCACGGAAAGAGCCTGCCAAACTCGCGCCCAAGTTCGACGGGCCATACAAAGTGGTCGCCCTTCCGTCCCCAAACATAGCCCGAATCCGCTTGCCCGGGAAACGAAAGGGCCGCCTTGTCAATATCGCCGACTTAAAAGAGTTCCATTCTTCTCTTCCCACAGGTGATGCAGCCACCGACGACGACGCCATGTCGGAGGACAACTCCGGCGTTCAACCCGGGTCCGACAAGCCACGGTCACCCGACCACGATATTAGCGAGGGGTGAATTTAAGTAGTCAACTAAGCTCCCTCTAACCCTAAGACCAATGTTAGCAATTAGATTAACCTTAGAACATTTGCCTACTACTGCCCGTTAGGACATTAACATTTAAGTATCAGTTAGCCTAAGTTTGGATAGTCTTCCTTTCTTCCCATAGATTTATTTACGTACCTACGTACGCGCCAGCAAACAACCAACAAGGATGGAGCCCATCATTATAGACTCCAGCGACGAAGAGAACGTGGCTCCGAATGGACACGATGGCCGACCGGCGACCCCCGAGATCCCCGGATGCGCCCTGGCACGTTTTACGCCGGCAGACCCACCAGAGCCTGCCCAACCGGGATTCGACAGACTCGAGGCCCTCCCCGAGCCCCGTCGCCCCCGATGCGGCCCACTGCGTCCAGAGCGCCACCGCGCCGGGCCACGCCGCGCCCGATGTCCGAGTCTTCGGACGAATCTCCCCCAACATCGCCACCACGGCGCGCCGCGCCACCAACGCCTCCACGACCCTCGCGCCGCTCGATCTCCCCGTTCTACGTGGACAGCACTGGTCGCAGGATCCCATGTTCCGAAGCTCCGCCGGCCCGACTGGACTTTCTTAACCCGGGCTACACGGGACCCTATCGAGGCTCGCAAAACCCGGATGCGCCGGGTCATTCTCGATGGTACCCCAACCCGGGCACGCCAGGTCACTACCAGGGGACCCACAACCCGGCCGCTTCAGTGCCACCGGCACGAGAACGTTACAGTCCGTGCAGCCCTCGCCAGCAGGGCCCTGAGCCAGACGAGGACGACGAGGAGGGAGGCTCTCTAACCTCCAGTCCGCCTGCCTCTCCGCGCGACAGTGATGCCACACCTCCGTACTCCGGGTACCACGGGGAAGGAGCCAGCGAGCAGGACGACGATGACGCTCAAACTATCAGCAGCGACAGCGAGCCCGACGGTGATGCCCCCTCGGCGGCACACTTCATCTGGGAGGGAGAGGACCGATGCGGCTACTGGCGGGGATCGTGGATCCAGCTGATCCATACCCACTATACCTCAATCCTCATCGAGGCCCCCTTCCGGCCGACTCCCGACCCGATCGTCACCTTTCCCCCGTCACCGGAGAGGCTATGTGTAATGGCCCCGGACGAGGACTGGGAAATGGACATGGGGAACACCCCCGAAGTCCGTCCGCCGTCGCCAGCACTGGGAGAGGATGCGGCCCTACCCATCTTCCCCGGCGACCGGGCAGATGCTAACGCCCCACTGGCGTCCACGAGCCAACACGCGCCCCACATCACCGACGAGACGTACGACAACGCCCCACTAGCATCCACGAGCCAAGGCTCGATTCACACCGCCGACGATCCAGACGAGCATGGCTACCAGCCCACCGGAAAGGCTATGCAGTGGGAATCCGAGTCTAGCGACAGCGAGACGGAGACTGGACAAAGGTTCCGACGCAAAGAGGTGCGACCCCGGCCGCCGCCGGACGTTGGTGCACCAAGCCACCAACCCTCGGCCCACCGCCGTGTGATGTCGACCGAGAGGAACACGCCGCCCAATGCTGCCGAGACCATCCGCCGGGCATCGACCCACAGCCGCGCCACGATCGACGGTGAGGTCACTCCACCGACAACCCCACGTGTCGACCCCGGAGATCGCGGATTCGACCTCTCTCCAGGCACGCTGGACGTGCTGATGGAGGAGCTCGAGCCGGCAGTAGAAGGTCTACTTCAGGAGCTAATCCCAGACTGGGACCTGAATGCACCCTCGACAGCGCCAGCCCAAGCCACCGCCGCCGACGAGGTCCCACCTCCAGCGCCACGCTTCCCTCGCCAAGTCCCTGCGGGAGACTATTTCACGACCGACGATCCGATGCCCGCGCGAGTCGCCATTCCAGCCGCTTGGTGGACCAACACCCCCGACCGACGGGTCCCACTGACGGTTTGGCAGGAGATTGAGCGCCGAAGCTACGCCGCCCGTTACAGCCGCCAACGCTTCCGCGTCCGCACCCAGGAGGACCCCTACCAGGTCACGATGAAAACTTCAGGAGAGGTCCAAATTCGTTTCGGTTCGGCGTAGTAGGGAGGGAGTGTGACGCCTCCATTCCTTCGGCGCACAACCCTGCCTATTAAAATAAGCATAGAGACTAAGTATACAAATAATCCCCCCTTATGTTATAACTAGCCTGTAATTTAAAGTAGTAAGACGGCACTGAAGCCACTTCAATTATTAAATCTTTTGTTGGCATTGGAGCCGTAAGCAAGACCACCTTGAAGTATATTTAAAGTAGGGACAATTAAGTTAAAATAATAATCTAAGTTCAGCACCTCAGAGATCGCTGAAACGGGTACATTATCGACTAGTCGAACTAGTCGAACCAGATCAGTTCTCGGTGAACCGGTTCGAACCACCGGTTCACTCAAAAGCTATGACAGCTGTCGAACTTGCAACCGAACCAAAAAATTTTTAAAAATTCAAAATGGAACGGTTTTTAGTAAAAATCATTTTAGTAAAATGAGCTACTTTGGCTTACAAAATAGACACTTCGACGATTTTAAGTTAAAATTTTATCAACAAACATATTCCAAATTAATGGAATGATATACAAAAATAAAATTAAGTTCATTTAGTTGGAAATTGATCAAAATATTTAAATCAAATTTTATTCAAGTAAATATTTCTATGTTAAATGAAGAAAAACGGTGGCAAAAATTAAGTTCGCCACTGTATGTCGTTAGTAGTTTGGCGGAGATATGTCGCTTACAAACGACATAACTCCGCGCGGAGATATGACGCTTTTTTTCTGGCGGAGATATGTCGCATGAAAACGACATAACTCCGCTCGGAGATATGTCGCTTTTTTTCCGGCGGAGCTATGTCGTTTTAAAGCGACATAACTCCGCGCGGAGATATGTCGTTATAAAACGACATAGCTCCGCCGGAAAAAAAGCGACATAAGTCCGCCCGAAAAATGTACCGGGCGGAGATATGTCGTCGGACTTATGTCGCTATGCCGTATTTCCCTAGTATTATTGGTCACAGTTTTCAGGTTCCTCCGATCTCTGTCCCGCTGGCGGCCCAAATACTGCGTTTCGGCATTCCCATTCGCATGTGTTTTTGCGGCCATCCAGCCTCTTGTCGATCCTTTCCCGTGCTCCCAGCCGCAGCGTCACGTCAGCACAGGCTCTTTCCGTGCCCAGCGTGCCGCCGCGACTGGAGGACACCTGCTCCTCTGCCCTCGCTCCGCTAGGAAGCCTTTCCCGTGCCCCCAGCCGCAGCGTCACGTCAGCACAGGCTCTTTCCGTGCCCAGCGTGCCGCCGCGACTGGAGGACACCTGCTCCTCTGCCCTCGCTCCGCTAGGAAGCCTTTCCCGTGCCCCCAGCCGCAGCGTCCCGTCAGCACAGGCTCTTTCCGTGCCCAGCGTGCCGCCGCGACTGGAGGACACCTGCTCCTCCGCCCTCGCTCAGCTAGGAATCCTTTCCCGCGCCCACAGCCGCAGCGGCACGCTGGGCACGGAAGGAGCCTGTGCTGACGTGACGCTGCGGCTGGGAGCACGGGAAAGGATCGACAAGAGGCTGGATGGCCGCAAAAACACGTGCGAATGGGAATGCCGAAACGCAGTATTTGGGCCGCCAGCGGGACAGAGATCGGAGGAACCTGAAAACTGTGACCAATAATACTAGGGAAATACGGCATAGCGACATAAGTCCGACGACATATCTCCGCCCGGTACATTTTTCGGCGGACTTATGTCGCTTTTTTCCGGCGGAGCTATGTCGTTTTATAACGACATATCTCCGCGCGGAGTTATGTCGCTTTAAAACGACATAGCTCCGCCGGAAAAAAAGCGACATATCTCCGAGCGGAGTTATGTCGTTTTCATGCGACATATCTCCGCCAGAAAAAAGCGTCATATCTCCGCGCGGAGTTATGTCGTTTGTAAGCGACATATCTCCGCCAAACTACTAACGACATACAGTGGCGAACTTAATTTTTGCCACCGTTTTTCTTCATTTAACATAGAAATATTTACTTGAATCAAATTTGATTTAAATATTTTGATCAATTTCCAACTAAATGAACTTAATTTTATTTTTGTATATAATTCCATTAATTTAGAATATGTTTGTTGATAAAATTTTAACTTAAAATCGTCGAAGGGTCTATTTTGTAAGCCAAAGTAGCTCATTTTACTAAAAACCGTTCCATTTTGAATTTTTAAAAATTTTTTGGTTCGGTTGCAAGTTCGACAAAAAACATCGATGTCGATGTTTTCAAAATAGACCATCGATGTATAACTTAACATCGGTATCAAAAAAATCATCGAAAAACATCGGAAAATAGCGCTAAAAATAACATCGATGTTCGATGCACCGATGAACTTTGTAATAAATTACAAAGGGCTTATTTCTATTATCTTTTTTGTGAGTAAAAAATGCAAACAAGCTACCGTAGTAATTATATATTTTGTTCTTATTTTTTAGATATGAAATGACATAATTAAAAATGATATCAATATTGATGCTTTCATAGGACTTTTTCATTTTATTTGAAATTATGAAATAGGCAAAAATTTGTAAGATGTTATCCATAGGCCCATTTATCCATAGACTCATAAATAAATATTAAATATTGTTGAATCAGAGACCGATGTTTCGTCAAACATCGATGCATCGGTTAACATCGATATCAACAAAAACATCGAAAACATCGAAAACATCGGAAACATCGCTATAAAAAACCTTGATGCTCGATGCATCGATGTTTTCAGCATCACTAGTTCGGTGTGCCAATAATTTTGTTCAGGGAAATGTGACAGTTTTTTTAGTTTTTTAATTTTTATAAATTATTCGAATGATATACAAGGATAAAATTAAGTTCATTTAGTTGGAAATTGATCAATATATTTAAATAAAAATTGTTTAATGTAAATATTGCTATGTTTAATGGAGAAAAAGGGTTCCAAAGTCAGACATGCTAACTGTGCCAAAAATTAAGTTCGTCACTGTATTTTCGCGCGGAGTTATGTCGCTTTAAAACGACATATCTCCGCCGAACTAGAAACGACATATCTCCGCGCGGAGTTATGTCGCTTTAAAGCGACATATCTCCGCCAAACTAGAAACGACATATCTCCGCGCGGAGCTTTCGTAGCTGGTGTCGCGGTGTGGGCGGGTTCGTCGCGGGCGTGGACGAGGATGCGATATACACCGATGCGGACTTGTTCGCGGAGACACGGCGATGGGCACGTCTGCCTCGGTGTCAAGTTTTCAACGGAAGAGAGTGAATGCCGGAAGACGCGAGCTGTCATAGCTTTTGAGTGAACCGGTGGTTCGAACCGGTTCACCGAGAACTGATCTGGTTCGACTAGTTCGACTAGTCGATAATGTACCCGTTTCAGCGATCTCTGAGGTGCTGAACTTAGCTTATTATTTTAACTTAATTGTCCCTACTTTAAATATACTTCAAGGTGGTCTTGCTTACGGCTCCAATGCCAACAAAAGATTTAATAATTGAAGTGGTTTCAGTGCCGTCTTACTACTTTAAATTACAGGCTAGTTATAACATAAGGGGGGATTATTTGTATACTTAGTCTCTATGCTTATTTTAATAGGCAGGGTTGTGCGCCGAAGGAATGGAGGCGTCACACTCCCTCCCTACTACGCCGAACCGAAACGAATTTGGACCTCTCCTGAAGTTTTCATCGTGACCTGGTAGGGGCCCTCCTGGGTGCGGACGCGGAAGCGTTGGCGGCTGTAACGGGCGGCGTAGCTTCGGCGCTCAATCTCCTGCCAAACCGTCAGTGGGACCCGTCGGTCGGGGGTGTTGGTCCACCAAGCGGCTGGAATGGCGACTCGCGCGGGCATCGGATCGTCGGTCGTGAAATAGTCTCCCGCAGGGACTTGGCGAGGGAAGCGTGGCGCTGGAGGTGGGACCTCGTCGGCGGCGGTGGCTTGGGCTGGCGCTGTCGAGGGTGCATTCAGGTCCCAGTCTGGGATTAGCTCCTGAAGTAGACCTTCTACTGCCGGCTCGAGCTCCTCCATCAGCACGTCCAGCGTGCCTGGAGAGAGGTCGAATCCGCGATCTCCGGGGTCGACACGTGGGGTTGTCGGTGGAGTGACCTCACCGTCGATCGTGGCGCGGCTGTGGGTCGATGCCCGGCGGATGGTCTCGGCAGCATTGGGCGGCGTGTTCCTCTCGGTCGACATCACACGACGGTGGGCCGAGGGTTGGTGGCTTGGTGCACCAACGTCCGGCGGCGGCCGGGGTCGCACCTCTTTGCGTCGGAACCTTTGTCCAGTCTCCGTCTCGCTGTCGCTAGACTCGGATTCCCACTGCATAGCCTTTCCGGTGGGCTGGTAGCCATGCTCGTCTGGATCGTCGGCGGTGTGAATCGAGCCTTGGCTCGTGGATGCTAGTGGGGCGTTGTCGTACGTCTCGTCGGTGATGTGGGGCGCGTGTTGGCTCGTGGACGCCAGTGGGGCGTTAGCATCTGCCCGGTCGCCGGGGAAGATGGGTAGGGCCGCATCCTCTCCCAGTGCTGGCGACGGCGGACGGACTTCGGGGGTGTTCCCCATGTCCATTTCCCAGTCCTCGTCCGGGGCCATTACACATAGCCTCTCCAGTGACGGGGGAAAGGTGACGATCGGGTCGGGAGTCGGTCGGAAGGGGGCCTCGATGAGGATTGAGGTATAGTGGGTATGGATCAGCTGGATCCACGATCCCCGCCAGTAGCCGCATCGGTCCTCTCCCTCCCAGATGAAGTGTGCCGCCGAGGGGGCATCACCGTCGGGCTCGCTGTCGCTGCTGATAGTTTGAGCGTCATCGTCGTCCTGCTCGCTGGCTCCTTCCCCGTGGTACCCGGAGTACGGAGGTGTGGCATCACTGTCGCGCGGAGAGGCAGGCGGACTGGAGGTTAGAGAGCCTTCCTCCTCGTCGTCCTCGTCTGGCTCAGGGCCCTGCTGGCGAGGGCTGCACGGACTGTAACGTTCTCGTGCCGGTGGCACTGAAGCGGCCGGGTTTTGGGTCCCCTGGTAGTGACCTGGCGTGCCCGGGTTGGGGTACCATCGAGAATGAC